TTCTCGTATGGGTAACATTCTGAGCACATGGGTAACGATCTACCCTCATGGCTTAAGTTCAGCCTGTATGAGTGACATTCTGACCACATGAATAACAATCTACCCACATGACATACGTTCTGCCCGTATGGGTGACATTCTAACCATGTTTCTAGCGTTCTGACCGTATGGATGACATTCTGACAACATGGGTAACAATCTACCCACATGGCTTAAGTTCAGCCCGTATGAGTGACATTCTAACCACATGGATAACAAACTACCCACATGGCTTGTGTTCTGCCCGTATGGGTGACATTCTAACCATGTGTCTATCGTTCTGCCCGTATGGATGACATTCTGACCACAGGGGTAACAATCTACCCACATGGGTAACATTCTGACCACATGGATAACAATCTACCCACATGACTTACGTTCTGCCCGTATGGGTGACATTCTAACCACGTGTCTAACGTTCTGCCCGTATGAATGGCATTCTGACCACATGGGTAACAATCTACCCACATAGCTAACGTGCTGCCCGGATGGGTGACATTCTGCCCACGTGGCTTACGTTCTGTTTGTATGGGTGACATGCTGTCCGCGTTGGTAACATTCTGACCATATAAGCATTATTCTGGGCACATAGATAACATTCTGTGCACTCGATCGGATGTCATTAATTTTCGATGTGCTGGTTTCATTGTGCGTGTGTATCATTTGGGAGGTGTTGGTTTTACTGAGTGTGTGAATTTCAATCTCGATACGTGATCATATTTTTGTGTTTGTGAATCATTCTGAATAATGTGCATGTTATCGTATGTGTGTGCTGCGTTTGTTTGATACCATTGTGGTTATGTGGGTACATGCCATTTATGGGTACGTACCGTATAAATTTACAATTCCGATTTGTACGTGGGTACCATTTTGGATGTTTGTGTGCAAATGCATTTCCGATTGTTGGTGTATTGTGTCTTCGTAACTAGTGCATCTGACTTCTCCGCGATCACGTGCTTGGGGTATCTCGTCGACCAATCATCAGCGTGCATTTGTTTTCACGTGATAACTAACGCCGTGGACATAATCGCACTAGGAAATATCGTTGTATTTTGTTAAGTTCTACCAGAATATACGGTTGAGTTTGGATTTCGATACGATCTAGTCTCAAGGTTACACGTAATTTTGGTCTATAATCAATATGACGAAGTGACCCATATCGTTATAATTGATTCCGTGCCAGTTCAGCGTGTCAATGCGAGCGAATAACATGGTCTATTCCACGGAGTACCTACCTCAGCCTAGAAGTGTAGCATGTATATGCCACCAGTACATCCACATATGCCACTGAACTCCAGGTCGCTGAACTACATATGTTTACGTAATAGTTGCCCATGTCATTGCGAACTAGTAACGTCATGCGCAACAGACTTCTGGGTGGATTGTATATAAAAAATGATTGGTTCTCAGTGATGTTTAAGTTTTTTTAAAATATGCATATGTTCATTACATATTAAGGCCATGTATGTGTGTGTGTACAGACTGATACACACTGTACTTGTCACATATACCAGTGCTTGATATACTTATTTTGATATTCCGTATCGTGTCGTCGCTAGATATTATATCACTCTGAGATGCATGTGAATAACCCATGGATACGTATGCGACAATGGGCGGGCAATTGAACACAGAACATCAATATTACAATTCAAACTTGTTGTAGACGTGATGAACTGCCGCCAAGAGATTCGTAAACCGTCACAGAGTAACAATTGGTCTTGGTATCTAATGAGCATTCTAATCCCTGGTAATCCCTATATCCGGGCAATGCGATATGTTCGTATATTTTTTGTTATCATGATAATTCGTGCCATTCTGTCAATGATACAGACACGATCGCAATTCCCTATTCACAGTTCGTGATTATTTTCAATTTACAAAAATCATTTTTAACATTGTCTCACTATTTAGGATAGGCACATCGCTGAGGGGATGCGGTATATCCTTGGTTTCCATGGTACATGCACGTACGTAGTTTAGTTTCCCTCAATCTCGCGGTCCACATCATGCTATGTAAACCTCCTACGTACCAATGCTAATACACAAGGTTGCAATGTACACCATTATCTATGAACTTGAATTGTTGACGAATCTAATAAACCATATTTAATAACTAGTGTGCTCGTTGCATATGGATACTGCAGTAAATTGTTACAAATACACGGCATCGGCATTTAGAAACTATTTTATTGTTTTTAATATGTAAATGCAAAACAATTACCTAAATTAATAAACTCCACGGATTGTATTTTGCAGCTTACTCGTTATGTTACGTTAATCACCATAACAACGCGATTGCTTCCCGGGCATCGACTGGTAAAAATACACAAGGCGCCGTTCACCAAGATAGATCCACTATTTAGTTGAGGGATGGTAACTATACTTAGTGAAGGGGTCGATACCTTCCAAGCTGTTAACTTAACGAAGTTAAAATTTAATTATTATTTAGTCGATTGACATGAAGGTTAGACTTTTAGCGACTTCATTAGCATGTCCCATGTGTGATAGTATTAAATAGAACGCGTGAGACTTCATATAGTGTGTACGCGTGCAATCAGGTAGAGTGATCCAACACTGCCTATATAGGCGGTATTTCTAAGCGAAGTTACATCGTATGACATTGCTAATAACTTGAGCTGAGTATAGTTTCTACATTACTTTCCACTCATCGGCTTATACAATGAAGTACTCACCAGTAATTATTATGGTAGTCTTGTCATGTTGTCTCATTCGTGATTCCTTCGCATATGTAAGTATGTATAACACCTGCAATCATGTATTTTTTTTTTTTCTTTTTTTTTTTTGGTTATTCTTTTTTTTTTGATTTGAAATATTTTGACGCACAGGTTTTTCGGTCACATTTTCATTATTTCTGTTGTTTTAAACCAGTTCCCTCAAAAGACCCCCCCTTTCAAATCCCAGACATTTGATCAATGTTTCGAGATTATTTGCTTATATGCTGTACCGCTGTTTGCGAATTATATTCAACACAAAATCACCATCATTTGGAAATCACCATAAATTTGTCGCCTGGACTCAAAACATCGACTATGCTCTATAGAAATGCTGAGTGTACGAAACAAACATTTTCACTTAGGTTTTTTTTTAATTTGATTGAAATTTCTTAACTATTTTCTGGTAAAAATGCAATATGAACAAGAACATGGAATTTTTAATATTGTTCAAGTTGATTGATAATATATACGATAAATACATTGAATCCTGACATGAAAACACATATCTGAGTATTCGTTCGATGAAACAATGCAATTCTTTAATACGCATGTGAACTGGTTGTTTTGGTACGTACAATAACACTAACTGCGCAGGCGTATTAGTGATAATGATTTGCGACAATGTGCGCAACAATCGAGGGCATGAGGACATGCATTCGAAACTGCAACATATACGAAATAAATACAAATAAACACAAATTTATACAACACGGATATTTATTCTATCTAGGTAAAGATGGAATGCTCTGTATACGGGTGGGCATAAACATTTGAGAAGATTACATTGTGAATGAACATGGTCAAAATTACACTGGGTTGTTTGAAGTAGTCACTTAAACATATCCAACCCCTGTCACCATTGTGAAGAAACCCCAAAATATAAAGACGCCAACACGTAATCTCAACTTCTTGTGTTGGTTCTGGTTACCACATGACCAAGCACATAACAGATATATTCATGGCTGATTCACAATGTAGAAATGGGTGTTACTAGAAATTGTTATATGGACTAGTTCATACGCAAATGCAAGGAATACGTTCACATAAATTATATAAATATTTATTATCATAAAAATTTATCTCAAAACAATATAAATAGCTATAATAAACCCCAATCCAAAAATGGGAATATCCGGCAGTGTTTGTGTGTGTGCAATTTCACGTAACTGGTTGTCCCTCTGTGCTTTCCCGGCCACTTGCAAACACATTAGCGTAAACAGTTCGCTGCGCACAAGCTCGCAGCTTCTTGAGATATTAGGTCAACATAACTTGAAACACAAAATGTTACATGAAATAGCCATGTATAATGTCACGAGACAGTTTATATCAGTTCCTACGCCATTAATTGCACATCGGTTGCTGTCCCAATCAACCAGTCAGCGGTCTCCATACGGAGTAGCAGTTCAATCAGATCGTGTGCTACATACATATTGACCTGCTCGTATAGGTTCTATCCAATCAATGGCCTCCAAAAATCATACACATGCCAGACTTAATGAGAATATCCAAGAAGGTATAGTTATGGTGAATACAATGACTCGCCAATCGCCAGTAGTCAGTTGCGGCCAATCATTGTCCAATCAGTTTGCGTGTTACAAATCCCTCTTTGGCGTTTCATTTTAAACAAAATGGCGGCGCCCACTCATGAATCGTGATATTTCTGATGATAAAATTGCGAAAGTTTTCGGTGTTGGTGCCCTCAAGCCTCATCAGGTACAGGCAATCGACGCAGTTTGTGTGGGAAGGATGTCTTCATAGCGACAAAAACAGGAAGTGGAATTTTGTTTTATAATTTGGTACGTCGAAGCTGATTGGGCGCCTTGTTTCGAGGCGCGCCGGATTAGATCTCACTGCTTAAGATACGCAATTAGCCGATGTGATCCCGCACGGTATCGCGTAGAGGTCTATATAGGTCGAAAACACGGGACCGTGCGATTCGGACGATGGATCTGCAAATTATTTTTAGTTCATGATACATCATAGCCCGATTTGGTCTACAGTATGTAGTATTGAACAACCATTTTAAAATATGTATGTTTTCGTCCTTAATGCATATTTAATGAATATTGTTCTATTGTTTTAATAGTAATTTTTGACAAGTTCCCTGTTTGGGCGTAACATATCGTATACGTTTGGATAGAGGACTTTGGCAGAAACCGTACAACTAAGTACAACTCAACGGTATACGTGTTTCTTCACTCACTCAATCACATCGGTCATACCATGGAGGTAAAAACTGTCTTTTACCTCCATGGTCAGACAAATTAAAAAATTAATACTTAAAATGTATAAATGTATATTAGCTTCAGTTTCAGTTTTTAGTTTATTTACTATTTGCAACCTAAAATTCTCTACTCCACGGCTTTTGTGAGTATGTACACATATATACATAAACAATATAGTACATGCCTAGCACTTTACAGAATCTGACGGAAAATTAAAAATTATTAGAATAAAATGTACTTTTAAAAATCGCAATGAAATCTAAAGAAATTTCTTTAAAAATCATTTAGTGTGAAATGAAAAGACTTTTCCTGGTAATAATTCGTCATGACACGTAGTACATTTATTTATTTATTGGTCAATGTATTCTCTAAAACGTGAATTGTTTTTGTTTTACTCTATTGAAAAAATCTAAACTAAATTATCTTGGTCTGATATATACACTTATCCCAGAAAATGTATAATTCAATTATTCTCTCTTATTCAATGTTCATTGTGAATATTAATTCAATATACACAATATTGATAAAAACAAAATTTCTAATGAATGTTGAGGAGTTAATTTAATAAGCACCATGAAAACATGTTTTTAAAGAAGTTGTTACTATTTCGGGGAGTTTGCTGCCAGCCAGCTTCTCTACCAATTGTATGTCCGTATTGACGTATCTTGTGACATCTTCACACTGCAACCAATCCATTATTCAATCAATCGTGCCTTAAGTTAATGGTGTACTACCTTTAATTTTAAATTCCACCTCTAACTCGCTCTATCATACGAGAATGTCGTAACGAGCGGTTTTAAACTCAGTGTTGCAAGGTATGGTGACTACTGCGCATAGCCGTTCCTTGGCAACCAGTGTTGTTTATTCATCGGGCTTGCATATATCGACATTCAAAATATTTTACGGATTTGTCAGTTGATTGTCATGATATAACCCAAATCACGCGAGATCTCGCCAATGCAGATCATGCAGAATTATGCAAAGGCATTTAAAAAAATCGTGAAAAAAAAACTGTTTGTAATGTTCTATTCTATTTTCGACCAAGGCCTTGAGCCACTGGATAATTTATATACATTCGAAACCTAAAATTGTCATCGATTTGTTAGTACACACGGAAAACAAATATGCCGTTAAAAAGAAAACAAATAATCTACTGTATTGATCGCCACAAACCCCAGCGGCACCTCACGACTACCGCTCGAGCGACAGAAACATGGGATTTGTCTTAACCATGTCAACATATGTCAGCTATCACAAAACAAAACCCACAGTTTTCTTCATAATTTTGTTATCAGATCTGTAGCCATTGGAAAAATGTGTTCTTTAGGATGAAAATTAAGCTATACACCATGATCGAAAGATACTTAACATGTTACAACAATATTTTGACGGGAAAAAATAAGGTATAAACTGAACTGAATTGAAATTGAATTACCAATCCTCATCTAGGTAATATGGTTCACACCTTTATGTTACGGAAAATGAAAATATGCATTGTTAATATTGATAACAAATCTGTTTAATATTAGTATAGGAAACTCCACGGGAAATGAGGTGTTGCGAGGGCGTCCGAAATAACTCCCGGATGCTCCATGGTGTAGTTACTTATACGTCAGCTGCTTTTAATTATTTAAATTCGAGGATTAAGCAAGGTTAACACAATCCCCCCCCTCTCATCATCAAAACATTCTCTAATTTCCACCATCTGTTGACACCGACGACTCGAGAAGCAAGGACCACACCTGTTTTGTGACTTCACTGCTTAAAACACCATCTTTTCAACAACACACTCAAACTTTCAGGCCAGCTGTTTTAAAGATTGTAATGGGTAGTTATGTCCAGTAACATCATGGCTTGTCTTTCATTAATGTAAGACATCATCTAATTGGCTACTCGCGCTGCCAATCACTTGGACTGTGTGTAATATAGCGAAATTTCTTTCATATTGCATTCCGATATGCTTAGTAGTTGCAACATTTGTATTCGACTCTAACACTTAATGGCCGTCAAGATCTCGTTGAGAGCATGAGACTCGCGTAACTTGGCTCTGTCGCTATCAAAAAAAAAAATTAGGCGGTCATTTGCAAATAAGGTCTACGATAAAAACATTTGTCATGTACATTCTTTTTTTCTAGGGGGGATTTTGTCATCTGCTCTGTATCTTTTTCTTTATTGCGGAAAAAAAATTGTTATTAACACAAAAAAAAAACAAAAACAAAAACGTATATTCAAATATTAATTAGTCGCATGTTAGAATATTGTTGTAGATTAGTGTACGATAGGTGGGTGGATGTATGTTCAGTACTTAATATGATGCAAACGTACGTGTTTGTATCCGCAGGCGAATACGCTACACGCTCTGCTTTGTTCCACTCGGAGACTATTTCCTCGGCAATTAGGCAAATACCTGTGCATAAAACCCAGATGAAACGCTTTTAAACTTGGTATGTTGTTACATTCAGGGAATATTCTCCCCGAAGTACGCAAATGCTACCTCAGAGTTAGCGTAGCCATCAGGAATTATTCACTCTGGAAGTACATTTTGTCTCCCATCGGTATAAAAACGTCTTCCCGGTAAATGCGATGGGAATCCCAAGGCGTCGTGTATCCGACAGAGATGACCTTCTAACTATTCATTAATTTGAAAGCCCCTTTAGAGGATATGCAAATTAGCCACTGACCAAGCAGTAATTGAATTATACGGAACTTTTCTTTTCAGCCTGAGCGAATGATATATACTAGTAAACATTATTGTGTCCATTTTAAGTGAAGTATAATAATATACGTATGTTACGAGAGGGCACAGTAAGAGCGCTCTATAACGAATTCGGCTGAACTGTCATATTGACAGTGTTATTGGTGTTCTCAAGGCAATTTAAACAAAAAACAAAAAAAAAGAACATACGAATTCCATACTTTATGGGTATTACTATACACACGCGTGATTTACTTTAAGTAATATTGACAATTTATCGGTGCACGTATCTTAGGCATTAACGACTTTTAAGATTACAGTTTTTTCAGTTTTTGGATTGCGTGATTCAAAATGTCTATAAATAACAGGCTTTAATCGTCCCTAGTTGTGCCCTACATTTGAATCGGCTTTCGAGAAATTTATTATAGGAGACAGTGCTATAAACATCAAAGTAACGTGTTGTTCTGTGCCATGTACATCCCAGAATGCAATTCACCCAATGTTAACTTGGTTGAAATTGTCAATAATTTATGGCATTATTTTGGACACATGTTTTTTCTGGTATTTTTTTTTTTAACATTTCTCATCCCAATAAAACTGTGCAAAGTCGATAACTGTTAATGCGGGTTTATTCTCCATGTTTTCAGCCGTATGGATCGTTCGTATACTGCAACAGGGACTCCGACTGCAGGTCACCGGGTTTGCCTTTCTGTCTCGGCAACGGCGTATGCGGTGGCTTCAAACTCATTATTCCGTGTGACTCAAACAAAGGCGGCGAAGACGACGATAGCTGTGCCAAACTCGGCAAAAATTATAAGTGCGTTAATATGTACTGCGAGGGACCTCCTCAGATTTACAGTCCGTGGGGTAGGAAGTAGTAGAAGACGGCGTCTCACAGAACTCACCGTAATGCAGGTTTGTGCGTCGAATTAGATAAGTGTTGACAGTGGCTTCTGAATGTAGGTACTCGTAGAATGCTACTCGTGCATTTTTGATGTGTGTGCATATTTTAGTGCAAATATCGGTGACAATATTTCGTATTAAGACTTATCTATAATTAATCGTCTCATTAGTATCAGTCAACTTTTTTGGTTCATTGTTAATCTGTTTTTTGAGAAAAACTTGCATACAATTGCAATTTAGCAGCGATTTCCACAGACCACATGACAAAACCTTTCAACATTAGAAACCCAGTAAATATAATGTCACTTGTTTAATACTTCTAGACATGAATAAGTATATTGTGAGACAATAGACCATTTTCCGTTCACTGCGAGAATCACGCGTTATGCGTGAAATCGAACGTAAAAACAGGACAAACAAAGGTCATAGCGTCGTAGTCGCGTCAAACATCGCGTGGGATTCGACAAACGCGAAAGTATTTCGGGGACATTTCCATGCTTAATAATGTGCTGTCCACATTTGATGATTGGCAATTTCGATTAAGTAAGGGTATTCGGAAGCAATATTCCTCTGTCGAAGATCGGCCGGTCAATGTAAGCTGCGAAATAAAGAAATTCTAGTTCAAAATCAAATCGTTCGATTTTTGCGGCAGACGTTCGCAGAGATCTCGCAATGGTACGGAAAATCACCTATATATATCATTTCTTCTAGAGATGTCACAGAGCAAAGTATCGAGATATTGAGATATATTCTTGCCATGGATAACAATGGTAAAATGCCCTTCAGCCTTGTAACATATATAAAAAATAAAATTACATTCTTACACTCTTGTGACCAATACATGATAATCATGGGTGTATGTGAGAGAGATCATTCGTATATCCTCGGGGGCGGACATCCGGGCATTTTCACCGCCTGGCAACCCGCGGCGGTGAAAACAAAGGCCCAAAACTCGCAGAAAACGGTACTTTGGGATGATTGTTGAGACTCCCCTGAACAGTGTAACAAGATTAGTCCTACGTGTGTAACATATATAAATTTGGTTGTTCGGTATTACTTCAAAGTTGAGTTTGTGTTGTTTTCTCGAATTTTCACCGGCTCGACCGGCGTTCCACAGCAGCGCGCACAGAGCCCATAGAAATGCATGTACAGTGGTGCGCGTCGTAGCAACGTGGAACGTCTAGTGACGTAGCTCCGCCCCCGAGGATATGACACTAGCTTACAAAAGCTAAAATGTCAATAACAATGTCAGGGGGGAATAAATCGTCTTTCGAGTGAAAACACGTGTATGTACTTGTATGTGTCGCGTGAGAACTTTCTGCAGTTTTGGTTGATATTTAGACTGGTCGTTAATTTGGAGATTATTATGCTATTTGCCTTTGGTATCAATCTTTCTAAAATCGAAATTACAATAGGTGATTTTCCGTACAATTGCGAGATCTCGGGAGATGCATGAAAGACGCGCGTCGAACGTTTGTCGCAAAAATCGAATGATTTGATTTTGAACTCGAATTTCTTAATTTCATAGCTCACATCGACCGGCCGATCTTCGACAGAGCAATATTGCTTCCGAATACTCCTACTTATCGAAATTGCCTATCATCAAATGTGGACAGCACATTATTAAGCATGGAAATGTCCCCCGAAATACTTTTCGCATTTGTCGAATCCCACGCGATGTTTGACGCCTCTACGACGCTATGACCTTTGTTTGTCCTGTTTTTACGTTCGATTTCACGCATAACGCGGGATTCTCGCAGTGAACGGAAAATGGTCTATTATATACTAACAGAGGTATAATGTACCTCTGATACTAACAAGTAGTACACAAAATTGACTTGCAAGAAAGGCACGGTAAATTATATATAAGCTATATAAATTATTATTTCATACGTGGCTCTCATTAATTATTCGTATCACGTATGTTGCATCAAGGAGAGGCATTCGCGCAATGTTTATGATCACGTGACAATACATCTGACTCGGATGTAGGCTAGATTCGAAATTAAGTGTCAAACCATTACCGTGAAATGATGCACTCACGTAATTTAATTAGACTTTTTATCTCGGCAGTAATCTCGACATTATTGGTTCTGACACGATGAATATTCCCAATTGCAGTTCAATCAAAGCGCTACAGTCGTCACGCAGCGCATGTTCGAATTTCGTGTAAACAAACATTGTATATTATGCGCGTTTTATACGTTACTGTGGGTCCCATATCGAACAGAACGTGACGCGAGGACTGTAGCGCTATAAATTCAAGTCAAATGTAATGAAAGCAGCAAGTAGATATTATTTTCATCACAAATATACCGCTAAATGTAGTTTGCTTTAATCGTGTCGCATTAATATTCGAATGATCCTACGCCGTGTTATCCCATTTTTGCCAACCAGCGTGCGAATAGCTAAAAACAAATGTAGCTCTCGATCTGCTAAACCAATGTTGCCTTCAAGTTCTTGTATCAATAGGGACGCATACATGTACGACCGGTTCTTACCAACCAGTCACTGCGCACGCGCACGCACACGCGCGCAAAACGTAAACGTAAACGTGAGATACCCTATTATTAATTTACTAGACCAGCTTATCAATTTATTTTATTCAATCTTATACATATCTATATAATAAATGACAAAGTTACGTATTTACACAGTATGAAATGGCTGGACATAGCAGATGGTGTGCCTTGGTGAGTGTCATTTTAGCCGAACGACGCAACCTCGTAAAAATGATTTGAACTAACCAGTTCTAAATCATGTATCGATCTCGAAACGCGTATAACAATTCAGTCAGCAACTTAGCGTGCAATGTTGATGTTTTGATGTTTGGAATAATATGGCAGCGACAGTAAAATACAACAAATCTGGCGTTGCTCTGCAAACTGGTCAGTGTGTTATTGTTACAATTATATCCAACAGCTTCTAACGAAGCTTCCGCACGCCTCGTCCGATTATCTTTAAATCCTCCAAAACAATGCACATCTTGTACGGTTGATGATAATATTTTCTATCGTCATCTACGTTTACGCTGTGTATGATTCTTTTGCAGATACAGACCACGTTCTACTGAGTTTTCACAACCAATACACCACGATGCTGAATATACATAGGAAATGATTGACTTGTGAAATTGCCGCATCTACTATAACTGTTATATAACTGCCTTGGATTCAGATTTCGACATAAATTTATAGTCATCAATTCAAGAAACTGTGCCAGGATTGCAAAGAGCCTCTCTTTACTCACAACACTGCGAAAACGGCCTGATGTCCGATAAAATATATTTAAGGTTTAAGGGACAAAATAAAATGAGAACTTTTCTAGATTACACAAAGCACTGAGTACGGTTTGTGAGTGATTTGCTTGTGTACATATTTTATGGATCGTGCTGAAAAAAAATAAACATCAATAGTTGATGTCAATACAATAATGCCTCGTTTGAGTTGTCATTAGTTCTGTACAAAGTAGCAAAAGACTTGATTCAGGTCTCATATCACTAATTAGAATTCCATAGACGACAAATTAGCGTTTGGGTGAATTTCTAAAAAAAAAAAAAGATCAAAATATTGATTTAATTTGTTGAAACCACAAGTATGTAATACAATTCTTGCCAGATAACCCCAGATTCGCCGGCTCAAAGTCCTACAAAATGGATGTAAACAAAACACATAGATTTGTCAGACTTTCTTCATTCAATATTCTCAGAAAATCAGCCAGCTTCGAAGTGTCTAATCAAGAGTGTCCCAGATCCATAAGTGACCGTTATTTGTCAATAAACAAAGCATCATATGCGAGCCCAATAGCTGATGTAATTGAAGTACGCCCTCACACATCGCGTTTCAGAACAAACGAAATGGGGAAAAAATATTGGCTAAAAAGCAACCACGGCTAATTGTTGGTATGAGACCTAAAAGCAATCCGTACTGAGTCACCGCAATATATGTATATTCAGCAAGTATATGTTATTGTACATTTCATATATACTTGATTACCCGTTTTATTGATCGATCCCTGACTGAACCCAAGATCCAGTTCCAGACGAATGTAATAATCTCGCGGGTCAAGTTATCGCGTGATTTGACCGCTCAGTTGTCAATCAATACAGTTGCCACATTCTTGCTTTATTTAATATGTATATGCTTTAAAACTTTATTTGCATAATAAAAAAGTGTTTCCGTCTTTGCAACCGGTTTATTTGCAGTATGTTATGTCCGTTACTGAATAAGTACGTCCGTTAATTACGCAATTCACTGAGTACTGTATTAGAATGCACCCTAAAACGCGCGTTTATAACGTTTCGGCCGAGGAATGGATTCAAAAGAAAGACGTGATACTGATAATAATATAAGAAACGCAATGATGACGAATTGACGAAGTGAGGTGTTTTTGTTAGGGAAGAATATAAAACGATCTGCGCATGATGAAAGCATGAACACCACGATTCCAAGACTAATAATGAATTTGCATTCTCTCTCTTCATAGTATTTTGACATATTCCGACGAATGCTTATATACACAGCATCAGTTTGAGTAGTGCGATTTAAACATTCACAAGTAAACGTCACGTGAGCAAATAACTGATGAGCGCTTGTTTTAGAACATGAAAATGTAATGTCTGCTTCTACAAGTAAACTGATTTGTTCTATGCAGGTGAAAGGGGGGGGGGCTGATTAACAAGCCCTAGTTCTGCTCTCGTAAACTACATCGTACACAATTAGCTTCTCTGATTCTTTTTTTTTGTTCATTGTTCACTGTTAGTATATTGACGAATGCCGTATGACGGTCTACGTGGAACGACCAGTCGAGACGAAACCACTAATTAGTTTCCCATGTGGTTATGTAAATGATTGGTAGCATTTCACTTATGCAACCTATTAGTTGAACTCAAATGACTGTCCATTAACGGCAATTATCTTGTCGAGTTTCCACATGCTTGACTAATGAACAATAAAGTTTCAACGTAATGTCAAATAATAAATGCACATTATTCATATGCACCTGCATACATTTCCATTTAAACTGAGTTACAATTTTGAAACATAATCAACTATAGGAATGTATTTTTAAACCTGTTTCTAAAATCATTTCGGAATACACCTTTCCTGTTATAAGTTGTGCCCCCTCGCGACAATAATCATCTGTGACGTAAATGGGTGAACAGAGGCCAGGTCGGTTAGCCTCCATATTGTTTCGATCTGTAGTCGCAAGCAATGAAATAATGTATTAGGGAGATTTACTGTATTCTACATGACACCCGCCTTGTCACTCTTTTAGAAAAGAAGTGTTTTAACCGGATTTGTGACTTGAATGGATCACCGGAAGTCAAAAGTTTTGTTTGCCCTACACTTATTGTAGCATCCGATTATCGTTCGATGAATGAAATACTCTAATATGCATGTGCACTGTTATTCCTGGTACGTATAATAACAATCACATTCGTAATAGTGGTTTAGATTTTTCATCTAAAGAATACAGTTACTGTTATGTAATTTGCGAAGGCAACAAATTTAGCTTATGACAAATCATTTTCGGTTTGGTCTCCAGTATGGGTATGGGACAGCAGCACTAAAGATATATGTGTTAGCCTATATTGAATCTTTAAACGTTTCACATAATATAATAAATAACATATTGTATCCGAGGCACACCATACACAAATGAATCTCGTCTTATTACAAATCACAATGACCACAACGTCGTTTCTCGGGGAAGTTTTATGTGCATACCCGTTTTAATATGAGGGACTGTGAACTGACCGTCTGAGTCTAGTAGATAAGGGTTTAAATTTTGAAAATACGGAGTGGGGTGGGTGGAATAGTGTGACCTGTGTATTTTTTACAGTGTCTTCATTTTTTCTTGAATTTTGCCAACATTGCAAAACCTAGCGTTTTTTGTCGGTGTCCAGATGATTTTAAGGCAACACTGAAATGACAAATATTGGATAATTATAAAAAACACAAAAAAACGTGCATTTAACAATTTACAAGACATAGCCAAATTGCAACCAGATTATAAGTAACATTTATAAGTTACACGATTACGTGACATAGCTAATTTTTCATGGTTTAATACATTTCCCATTGGTAGTGATTTTGTATTCATGCGGTCGGGTGTACAGCGGACCATTAAGGTAACAACTAATGATCGCGTTGGCGGCGCTGTCATCATTGTATTCAATTTTTTATGGCGACATCATAATAGAATTCAATCCCGTATGCAATCGATTTACTATCCCTAGTACTATAAACACGGTGTATTGACAGTAAGCGGGACTTAGCTACAACTAACAGGTAACGGGTATCTTCTGTTAAAACATAGGTATGGAGAGCTACTTTCACTATAACGTCGCACAGCGAAGACAGTCGCCGTTCGTGGATAATATAAGTAAGTTGTATTGTATATTCCTACGTGAACTAATTTAACTATAACTAAAAACAAGCTAACGCACCATGGCCTGGCAGCCAGCCGGCAACTCACAATTATTGGGCGTTTAGAAAGACTTGTCCGGTATAAAGTACAGGAACGAGTGTGTTGTTTTAGGGAGGACATGTTTTGCACAGGTTTGAAATCGTTTGCATGGGAAGCAGTTATGAAACTGGCGAATTAGATCAAACCGTGTATCGTAAGGGTAAATTGGGTGCTGCAAAACACGGTTTAGAATGAACCTGTCCCACTAATTGTACGAATATTTTAGAGTGATCGTAAGTTGCAATGTCCATGATATTTCGGTTTGATATTTGTGGGCTGCCACATGACGCATAAGATAGCTAACCCGGTCACGTACAATTAACAGCTGAAAAAAATCGATACTTTTACCATTGGCAACGTAATGTCAAATTCCGAAAATAAAAGACGCACACAATATAGTTGGGCAAAGCATTACGTAACATATCGATCAAATGTGGCGTGCAGTGACGTTACACAAATTTGACTTACTCATAAATGTTTTCGATGGTTTTAAATATTCGTATTAACTGCAGACCAACTATATTCAATAAAGTTCTTTCTGAATTCGACCATGTTGAAATGTGCAGCTAAATACTAGTATATAACAGGTGCAGTAACGTACTTATTTGGAATTCAATTAAATGAACGATACGTTAATGTTGATTCCGAGTAGAGCGAAGGAGTTGACCTTTATGTAGAGGCGACGCACAGTGGTGACCTGAATTCAAAGCGACTACGCAAAGTCTCTACTCACGTCTGAGTGGAATCAGATTGTATATTGATCTAACAAACTTACAACCCTCTTTTTTAGTTTTTTTAATGTTGTGTACATCATAATTATATTTTGTGTAAAATAACGGCTGAGTCTTTTCCACGAAACAAAACTAAACGAAACGAAATAAAACTTAATCAATTTTTTGAACGACATCGAAATCGCCACGTCATAGAAATACATTTCTCGAGAATATTTAATTTGCAGCTCAATAAATACGAGTAACTAACATGAAAGCTCAATAAATAAATACGAGTAACTATAACATGGCATGACAGCCATTTTGGAATTATTGAACATAATATGTCAAGTCATGTCACTACAAATGAATCGAGCTGCAAAGTAGGCGGAAAAGAGGTAGAAACTAAAAATTTCTGTGACGTGGCGATGTTTGGAGTTGTTCAGAAGTTTGGTTTAATTTCATTTCGTTTTTTTTTTACGTTTCGTTTCGTGAAAAAGATTTAGCCTAAAATAACTTCTAAATATTTGGGTGTCAAATTGTTTGGTTATTGAGAAGGTTTCTGAAACGAATTTACAATTGCAGTATTTTCCTATACTAGTATCAATAATAAATATACAAGCAATGTTCCAGCACCAAAAATAGTTGAAAGGCGGTGTTCAATGCTGACAATTGAAAAAATAATAGCTAACACCAATCCACTAACATACAAGAAAGACAAAGTTAGCTACAGAAAGCGCAGCTTTGATATGACGTAAGATGTCTAAACCGCCACCAAAGCCGTGACGTAATCACCAACCAATGTTCTTTACTTTCCAGTCGAGCGTTGTACCATATGTAAACAGTTTTCGAGATACTACAGTAATTATGACAACGCGCGAACTCTGTTCTGTTCTCCTGGATGCCATCGTATATATAATCTGCGAAACGTAAGTTAGATCTTTTTTTCAGTATGGCATGGGGTGAGCTGACTGAATCATGTACACTTGTGTCTGAAACTAGAAATGAGCGCAATGCGTTAGCATTGAGACAGGGTCCAATGATTCATAAATATTGCCATTTTATAAACTGAACATGTATACTTGTATTTCTGCAAATGGAAAAGTAAAAACCAGGAAACAAGAATTTGAGTCTAAGGCTATCCCTTCACACTACTAATGTTGTTTTTAAGACAAGATACTGCCAACCTCCTAGATACATTTGGTTATGTTTATTTCATGTGACCCGCAATCACAACTAAATGGAAAGCACTTATCACGTGTTTCAAAACACGTGCATTTAGTCTAACGTCCCTGCTGTCATTGTTTGCTAGCAGACAAATTATCTAATTGCGTATTGTTTCAGGGTAAAACGAAGAATGTTGTACTGATACGGATAGATGACCATGAAGAGAGTGACGCCATCAACGGGGATATCGTAAACAAGACAGTGTCGCACCATGTATGTATTATGCACCGTAAATAACTATCACATAATACAAACATAGATCAACAGGTGGTTGACATTTGTTGCAATACTTCATTACTTAATGTATGTATTATGTATCATAAATCACATTTATATAATACAAACATAGATCAACAGGTGGTTGACATTCGTTACAATATTGCATTACGTCATGTATGTATTATGTATCATAAATCACATTCATATAATACAAACATAGATCAACAGGTGGTTGACATTTGTTGCAATACTTCATTACTTAATGTATGTATTATGTATCATAAATCACATCCATATATTACAAACATAGATCAACAGGTGGTTGATATTCGTTACAATACTTCATTACTTAATGTATGT